TTTTTTACTTATAAAATTTCACTTTAATCCCTAGGTAAATATGAAATTACACCTTTTTAAAATGAAATTGCACCTTCCATACCCATAATATTATGTTACTTATAATTTCTATATAATTTATTTTATCAATTCAATTAAGTCCCTAAAATTTTTAAATCATTTCTAAAATATTAAAATTTTTACTAGAAAATTCCGGAATGTCACATGTTTTCTCTTCTTTCTTATGTAACTAATGGAATTTCAAATATTCACTGGATTGTCTATTTCCTTACAATAGTTGCATGTCTCACTGAGACGTAATCTTTTTTACTTTGTATTTTATGTAGGAATTGATATGCAGCAAATACAACTTAGATGACAAAACATGCTACGATTTATTATGGACTGAAAAATGGTCATCGTTACCCTATAGTATATTGGACGATTATAGCTTAGTTTCTTTTCCATTGCAGGTGTATCTCACAAAATTCCTACTTCATATTTGAGATGCTTAAGGTGATTGATGGATATAATTTGTCTCACTGCTTCTTTCTGTTTGTTTCCATCTTTAGTACTTGTTCAGTAATTTGTTTTTGTTTTTATTTACTCATTAATTCACGGGTTATACCCTCCGGAATCCTGATGTTAGTTTACACCTAATCTAATTGTGCTAAGGCTGCCGCTACTGTTGATATTTGGCAGGCATTTGATCCCCCTTTGGATATGAGTCAGGACATTGATATATCTTCAGAAGAATTTGTGGACAATGTATCAGATAACAATCCCTTCTCTGGTGAAAGAAAACCTTTCCCTTGTCAGTGTGAATCATCAAGTGGACAAATCTCTTCTTTGAAAGATGATGAACTTAGATTTGGGGGAAGTGCCAATGCAGTAAACGGGTCACCTAAAGCAGAACCAGTCTGTGAGGTGCAGAGTTTATCTTATTTTAGAAATTGGTTCAGATTTCAGTCTTTCGTTTATTTTGTCTATTTCAATTTCATTATGAAAATTGACCTCTGTAGATAACAACAGGAGAAGAAAACCGAACCTTCGGTGGAGTCCAATCCTGAGAACTGCTCTATAGGCTTGGCATTTGACAAAAAGGTAGAAAATTCTGATGCAAACAATGTTAAGAACGGTGACAATAATTCGGCATTATCCTCTGTGCGTGCTTCCAATGCACGACTATCCTTCTACCAAATTCTCCTTCCAACAGTAAAAAATAGTAGGGCATAGTCCTTGTTTAGGTTTACATTGTAATTTGTCTTAATTCTCTCTGTAAAAGTATGTCTGGATCTAATTGGCTTGAACCTGTCACAATTTGTATATAAATAAAGTTGATGAATGAGACAAAAACTAAGCATTGTGTTGGAGTGACAAGATATTCATTGACTATCCAGGATAATTTTTCATGTTCATCGATTACCATTTCGTTCTAACCCTTTAGAGTGGTATTTTCTGTAGTTGATAGTAAATTTCTTATGTAATAATGATTGTACCTCAAATAATGATAGTAACTATTAGGAGGCTTCCCGTGATATAATGCCAGTTGAACCATCACTTTTCTGGGAAAACCTTTGAAATTAGAAGTAATGGTACAAATAACATGAGTTCAGTGTGAAGAAAGGGTGCATCTCATAAATTTATGTATCTTTGGGGTTTGTTTCTTTATTCGCTTTATTTCAACAGCTATGTTCCTTTTCTGAGAAATGCCTTCCCCTTTTCTTTCTCTCTATTTATTTTTCCTTTCAATGTAGCTCGTTCAACGTTAATAGGTGTTCTTTGTACCTCTCTGTAGGTATGCGTGTCATCTCCTGATTGGTTGGACCCTGCATTACAGTTGCATGTCCCATTGGTTGATGTGGATAAGGTATGCTACTTGTCAAGTCAGTGAGATGATTGAGTTTTTTAGTTATACTAAATGGAATATGGGATTGAATGAATTTTCTTTGAACCTCTTTTTAGAGTTGAGGTCTTGATTGAGTGTTATTAATACTATGATAATTGGGGAGTTTTTGCAGTTAAAGACATGATTGAATGTGTTAATTTCTTTCTTCCATAATCTCATGAATAGGCTGTTACTGAAGTATTGCCCCATCACATCTCATTCCAATGTGTGTTTTGCATCTTGTGGCAAAACTGGCCATAAAAGGTTATATTTCTTCACTTAAATATTTTTTCCCAGGTTCGATGCATTGTACGGAACATTGTCCGAGATTGGGCATCTGAGGTATTGATTCATTATCCATAAGTTGTTCTAGATAGAGAGGTGATATTTTATCTTACTTTCTTGTTTATATTGTACAGGGTCAGAGAGAACGTGACCAGTGCTACAAGCCAATTCTTGAAGAACTTGGACGGCTTTTTCCAGATCGCGCTAAAGGGAGGTACAGTTATTATGCTATTATTTAACTATTTCTTCCTGATGAGTGGATTTAGTGACAGAGACTCTTGTCATGATTGTTGGTGTTGCATGGACTTAGGTTCATTTGAACTTTTGCCTCAATGCTTAATTGTTTTTTTCTCAAGTGACAAATGCTGAAACTGTATTCTTTCTGAACAGTCCTTGTTCATGTTTAGTCCCCGGAGCTGGACTTGGGAGATTAGCATTAGAAATCTCATGTCTGGGTATGTTTTGGAATTGAATCTACAGTACCTTATCTTGATAATTCTATTTTCACAGCCTGATATTTTATTTATATAACAGGTTTTATAAGCCAAGGAAATGAATTTTCTTACTACATGATGATTTGCTCAAGCTTTATTCTTAACCAGTAAGAGAATTATAATCTCTATGCTACACAAAGACAATGAAATTCAAGATTCTATTTGATGTGAATTATTATTTCTGTTCTACATGAATGGAGAAGTCTATATTTGATTTAATGCCATTTTTTAATTAATTAGCACTCAAACTGCTGAGGAGTGGACAATATATCCATGGATACACAGTAACTGCAATTCTCTTTCAGACAGTGACCAGCTACGCCCTGTTTCATTTCCAGATATTCATCCTGCTAGGTATTGGTTAACCTTGATGTCCTTTTTGTTGCAGATTTTCATCCTACTTCTCCTTATTTCTTCTAGAATTTAAAAATCAATAGGAGCTTACAGGTCTTTATTTATTTGTCTGTTGATGCTGAGCTACACTCAATAGTTTCCAAATCGAAGTACATAGGTATTGGGAAGACATACTGAACTAACATCTGAGTCATCCATTGAGATTGATATGTTGTCTTTATGAAGCCCAAGTTGTTTCCTTTACCTTTTGCTGGGTGAAGTAAAACCTTTTATGTGTTCACCTGTTTCTCTATGTGGACTTCAGAGTTCTAGTGACCCCCATCCTTGATAGTTATTTTGGTATATTCTCTAGACGAGATATATTCTTAAGGTGGTGTCATGGTATAAAAAGGCGGTAGTGAGGCGCGCCTTGAGACCCGCCTCACTGTGAGGCGCATGTAGTATGCCTCGAGGCGGTATTTTTGAGGCTAAAAATATGAGGCTCACGCCTCTAAATCTGAGGCGCACGCCTCATTTAAAATTTGATTTTTCAATTGTATGAAAAGAAATCAGAAATGACCCTTCTTAAAAAAGAAAAAAACCCATTTATAAAGGTATTTTGGGCCCCAAACAAAACAATAAAATACCTAGAAAAATAAACGGCAGCCAAAAATTTAGGACCAAAAAGAGAACAGATTCAACAGAAATTCAAAAGTCAGAATTCAAGAAGAGTATCGTCTTCGTCATCAGTTTAACATGTATGGTTTTCCTCTTTTCTTTTTCTTCTTAGGGTTCAGTAAATCTTGCATGCAATTAGTTGCTTCATATACACATCTGGAAATTATAAATTTTATAAATGTTTTTATTTACATAATTAACACATGATTTCATACAATCGCTTGTATAAACTCTAAAACTAAATGAAGATGGTTTTGTAGAAATTGAGAGTAACGAAGAGGAAGATGGTGGGAAAATTAGATATGATGATTCCATTAACGATACTAGTAATAGTGATGATAGTGCAGACTATTAGTTTTTTTTTTTAGTTTTAAGCTGCTTCTTTTTTTCCATTACAAATGGAGTGAATTTTAACTTTTGTAATGCTTTTTATTTTGCTAAACATTTTCTTTCTTTAGGTGGACTATATTTCAATATGCTAATGGCTATATATCCTATTTACTATATGCTCCAACTTTTATTTTTTTGTATTATTTTATAATTCTTTTACCAAAATTTTTTGTTTTTTGTGAGGCTTACGCCTCGCCTTATAAAGAAAAATCGCCTCAGTACTTAGTTTCGCCTTTTTAAACCTTGGGTGGTGTATTCGGTTTAGACTTTTAAACACTTTTTTAGAGATTTAAAAAACCTGAATGTATTCAATGTACACTTTTTAAGACTCCATAAAAGTCTAGAGATATTTAATATAGACTTTTTAGAAGCCCTTTAAAGTCCCGAGGTATTGAATCGATACTTTTAAAAGTCTTTTGAAGTCATGGAGTATTTAGTGCTTGTTTGTCTCTCATTTTGGGAGAAGAAATAGAGTTTTGAATAGGAGAATGTGTAGTTGAAAAGTAAAGTAATTTTATTGGTTTGTGTGTAGAATATTTTATTGAGTGAATATGTGGTGGAGATTGTTTACTATAGCAAATAATGTTTGATAAAATAGATGACAAGCATGGGCTTAAAATTTCAATAACTTTTTTAATGACTTTTATAAAAGTCTCAATGGTATTAACGTTTAAGCATAAAAAAAAAAAATACAAAAATAAAATCTCACAATGTCTCTCATTTAACCACAAAATTTTGAAAAAATGAAAGGAAAGGTAGGTATTTAAAGAGTGTCGTTTTTGAAAAAATAAATTTAAAACAAATATGACCATTGGCAACTTATCAGCGGCCATATTTGGCCTAAAATTTTGTGTACAATGACTATATTTTGTCACATTTTCGTGGATGAGCTCACGAGCCACTCGTTCATAGGCTGAGCCTCCAAGCTGCTTGCCTCAGGGGCAAGTCGAGCCCTGGATCAACTGGCCAAAATTTTTGAGCTCGGCTCGACTCGACCCCAACCACAGCCTTGTCCTTAGACGAGCCTGAGAGGCCATGAGCTGAGCTTAGACTAGCCAAGTGGGCAGGTCGATGAGCCTCTTGGCCTCATCGCCAACCAAGCTTACATTTAAAGGTTTGACATATTGATAATACTGAATATTAGAGATTTTTCTTTATTTTTTTTATCATATTGTACTGAAATATTATTTATGTTTTTATATTTTGTTTATTTATTATCTCAGTTAGGTGACTTAAATTTATTATATTCTTTTAATTTTTTAAATTTATTAAATGGGGAAGGCGGAGGAGATGGTTGGTATTGAACCGCCACATCTTATGTGGGAACTTCATGCTCGTGCTCTAGACCAAAGTAAATTCTATTTTAGATAAAAGTCTTCAAAAGTCAAATAAATTTCACACAAGTCTTTAAATGAAAACCCTCTCCAATGAGGGGTCAAATATAGTGCAAAATATAGTGTAATGAATAGTGTTACACCAAATTTGGTGTAACATTATTCTTTTACACCAAATAAAATAAGAATTTTCAATGTCTCCATTTTGCCCTTCTTACCAATTTACAAAAAGTGTTTCTTCCATTTATGCCCCTTTTGAATATTTTAGTATTAATAGATTTTAATTGATTTATAAATATTTTAATGTGATGATTAATTTTATTTAACGTTTATTTTTAAATTTTTAATCAGTTAATAATAAATAATTATTTCAACAAGAAATTAAGACCCTGTTTGATACACATTATTGAGTGGAGAATGCATTTTAAATAGTGATTTGATGGAAAATATGTTATTAAAAAATAAGGAAAAGTTTTGGATTTTCGCATAATATTATTTTATTGAAGAATGTGGTTGAAAATGAGTTTTGAAAAAATAAATTTTTGTAAGAATGTAGATCAAATAGAGTGTAAAATTGTTCATTAAAAAGTCAAAATTTATAAATTTATTAATAAATTAGCACTAGAACAACATAAATTAAAGTACAATACAACATTTAACTAAAACAATAATTTAGTACGCCGGAAGTTCTTTTCTCGTTATATGTAATTTATGCATTCAATGTAATTTTTATAATTTGCGGTATTATCTTTAATTTTTTTTTCAATTTATTACTAAATGCAATATTTTAGTTAATTAAATATAATTTCTAATTTAACGATTTTTTAGTAATATAATTTGTAATTAAATAATTCAAAATAAAATTTGGTGTAAAATTTAATGTTAATTGGTCTCCAATTATCTGCACTAAATTTGGTATAGACAATCAAAAATGGTCTAAATAAGTCTACGAAAGACTTTCATCAATTCCATACAAATCTATAAAATAAAAAAAAGTTCACGAATTCCTCAAAAGTTTAGATTGAATACACTCCCTTCGAGCCTTTACATCATAATAAACCTGAAAGTTTTCTTATCTGTGTTGATGAATAATTCCCTTGATAAAGTAGAAATTAGTGGCCAGTCTAACCCTATCCCTTTGGAAACTTACATGCACATTTATTGCATCTCCATGCCCAAATTATTATGAACTTCTAACAGTGCAGGGATCACCGAAGGCTTCTCAATGTGTGGTGGTGATTTTGTTGAAGTCTACAATGATTCAAGCCAAGTTGGTAAGAGAAGAGCAATGCATTTTCCTCTTCTATTATATTTACATTTTGAGAAGTGATTCATAGTATGTATAATTTATCGACTCATTAACAAGGATTAGATGGTTTATTTCTATACGATTTGGGATGAAATACCTTCGATCTTTGTAATGATGAAAGCTGGTTAAGTTCATTGATCCACTTTAGTCAATGTACAAGTAGAAGATACGACAGCTATCGCAGCCCTTGCTTCTTCAGTTTGACTCACATTGAGAGTTCCTCAGAATACTGTCGAGATATCAGTATCTTTAGTTTCATTCAGTTGTGTAAGTCAATTTGTGCCCTTTAATACCTGTGTTGAATCTTACAGATGCTTTAGTCTCAGTTTATGGTGTCATGAACCCCTCTATATAACTCGAATTAAGAATTCTGACAACATAAAGGTCTTCTCGCGCTCAGCATGAATTTGTCGTATTGAAACTTCCACAAACTTCCCACTAGAACTAATGTTATCAAATGGTTGTTGGACCATGGTATTTCTTTTAACAAATAGGCAAACACATAATTGTTGTATACTCTCTCATCTGTTGGTCAACTGATAGTTGATCGTCGCCGTAGCACTATTTTCGTTGATTATAACATTTTGATGTTGAAATCGATATCTCCATTTATATATACATGTATTTGAGCACTTCTACTGACATTTGTTTTGCACTTCCATTCCAATTGTGAACCTATAGTGTCACGGAAAATTCTGGACATGGTGATTTAAAAAGATAAATAGGTTTCTTTGCCTTGCAATCTCTCCGTGCTAGGTACTCATGTAGTCACGTGCCTGTGTTGGCTTGTCTAATGATGACATATATGATTTATTTTCAGGTGTATGGGATGCAGTAGTGACTTGTTTCTTTATTGACACTGCACATAATGTTGTGGAATATATTGAAATCATCTCGAGAATTCTCAAAGATGGAGGAGTAAGTAGCTTCCTCTGTTTATTGTTGAATCCTTCCCATCTATATGGAATGAATACATAATTTGTGTGGTTGACAGGTTTGGATAAACTTGGGACCCCTCCTTTATCATTTTGCAGATATGTATAATCAAGAAGATGTAAGGTTTTTATTATACTATATAATAAAAAGCTTGATAAATGGCATACAATATTGATTTCACTTTGATTTTCTTTCAAGGATATGTCAATTGAGCTGAGTTTGGAAGATGTGAAGAAGGTTGCAAGTCATTATGGATTTCAAATAGAGGTAATCATAAATTTAGTTGTGTTTGACGTGCTACTCTTGGACGTTTGATGAAAACTTAAACTCAATTGTATGGAAAACAGAAGGAATCAACAATTGAGACGACATACACAACAAATCCAAGATCTATGATGCAGGTAAGCTTATTATCTTCTACTTTTAAGTTGTATTTTTCGGATTCAATATCTTCTGCTTTATTTTGGTTGGACATTCAGGCCGTGTTTAAGCCACATTATTTTTTATATTCTCATTCTTCTACTCATTTTTAACCACACATTCTTCAATAAAATAATATTTTCCATCACATCAATAATTTTTCTTTTCAACCACATATTCTCCATCACATCAATAGTAAAAATGCATTTTTTTTCAAAAAATGTGCACCAGACAGGGGCTCAATAGATAAACTTTAAATATTAATTTTTACATACAAAGCTGTGGAAATAAATTCTGTCATGATTCTAACAGAGACTTAAATGTGCATTGTGGACCTTTTTCTTTTAACTGGAAAATATATTGAACCTTTGGTCATACACAATGAGCAAATTTTATTTTGAAAAGATTTTATCCTTAAATGATTGCTGACACCATTATCTTGAAGGAGATAAAAGAATAGTTGGCAATCAGAATTTTATATTGATCTTGTAATTAATTTTATGTTGTGTATGAGTCGCCATCTCCTCAATAACTTCACAGCTGATGGACAGCTTTTTTATGATCAAGACTATTTATGCATGCCACCAGTACCAGATTTGTTAACTTTGCCGAATTTTTTTTTATATACAGGATTTATTGTTCGTTTTCAATTCTTTACAGCATATTAGAGTAAGGTTATGTAATAAATAAAATTCATGTCAATCTGTTGATGATAACTTGCTCTTTGATTCATATACTTAATAGTCCCAACTCCTTTTGTATCTGTTTATTTGATTTATGGTTCAAAAAAAATGTTCTCCAACATTTGTGAGTTACGAAGTGAAATCGAGATAAACTTCCATCAGCCAATTCACAATGTACATATAGTTGTTACTTGTTCGACTTCAGTTTCAAGTGTATAGATCTATACGTTATCAGTTTTCGAAAGTTATCTTTAATGTTAAATTGAAGCTATCTTGGAATTGTACCGTTCAAGAACACTACTGTATTATTGTCATGTTATATGATCATTGATTATTACTTGTGTTTCCATGATGCATCTAAATTAAATCCATTGTTTTTGAGTGCAGAATCGATATTTTGCTACATTTTGGACCATGCGGAAGAAACCATTTGCAACGACAGAGCAGAGAGCATAGGATGGTTATAAGAATCGTCTGTGGTTGACGTATTAAACCTCGAACTTTTATGTGCTATTGTAAGAATCGAAACATTACATGGAACTTTGAAAATTCATGTTATTTTGTGATATCGTTGGCTTACAAAGTTTAGTGATAGATAATGACTTATGGGATGTGGGCTAGTTCTATCCAACATGAGTTAAAGTTTATATAATTTGCATTTGACTGTTTCATGTTTAACCAAATCTTTTGATGGCATTGTTCTTCAACACTCGTTTGTTTTTTTTTAATTATTTTTCTTGATCATCGTTATAATTAGCAATGTTCTAACGTCCTCCTGGCCATTGAACTAGGAAAAGGGTAAAAGGATTTAGCCCTCATTTGTACCCCTCCCCTTTAAAACAAAATTCCTTAATTCTCACACTTATTTTCAACCACATATTCACAATAAAATATTTTACACGTAAATTAAAAAAAATTCATTAATTTTTAATCACATTCTCCAAAAAATTGCTATTCAAAACGTCATTTTTGTTTTTCTAAATAATGGTCATCAAACCAGGGCTGCAGTCGTACCTGAATGGATTAAGTTGCTAGCCCGTAAACTAAATGATGATAAAACAAACCAAACTTGGGTACTTATTTTACAAAAGACAGTATAAATATAGATACATTCCTTAATGTCACCCCCAGTAAGAATTATGTTACAAGAAATTCATAGCCATACAAACCCAAGAGAAGATTGCAGGGGCATTAAAATTGAAATGAAAAAACTTCAATTCAGCATAAATATATAACAAAACCTCTTATTCCTCCTGATTATACTCTATTATAAGAAGTTCAGTCATGCAACATTATCATTAATTTTGCAAAATCACAGCTAAAAGAGAGAACTTGACACGAAGAGATATTTTACCTTTGTCGACCATAAGCCTAGCCCCGGACGCTACCCAGTACCCAGGCTGGTCCTGTGATCCTCTTGTCATCTCTCTGGTGTCAACAAACCTCAAGAGTTTACCAGCTGCTACAGGCATTGGAGGACCTTCTGGATATAGAGCAGAGTTGATGTTAACATCAGATGGCTTTGGAGGAGGTTTCTGTGCACTGGAGAAAAGAGTGCCAACGAAACTAATCATTCCAGACGTTTGCGTGAAATTAGGAGGACCATCCCACTCAGGTTTTTGGATGACTGTTGCACCAGCAACTCTGGAGAAATGGAGGCGTAAAAAGAGGGTGTTTCCCATAACTGATTTTCTAACGTAAAATTGTGCTCCAGTAACTATAGAGAGATCATCATCAGACTCAACAGGGGCAGTGCATACATTTGAAAAGTTCTTCCACTGGACCTTCCCATAATACTGCCGGGCATAAAAGGAGTTACAGTTTCCAACCGATTGCTTATGAAGTTGAAAACTTTGTGGCCACGAGGAAAGGTGCTGCAAATGGATTGCCAAGCGATCACTTCTTCTACCTTCCAAATACAGTCGCATGCCAGTTACTGGCATATTTCCAGCATCCACCTATCCAAATTATTTTCAGCCAAATAACTAACTAATTAATTATTCAAGCATAAAGAATTATGAATGACATACACTAGAAAGAATAAATTAATGACTGAAAATAGATAATGCTCAAGAGATTCTACAGCATTTGATCAGAAAGCAAGGATTAAGAGAATTTCTTGTACATAAAGACATGGTAAATGAAATTTAAAAGCTAGTCACCATAAAAGAATCAGTACTTGTGCATCTCTTGAAAGTTCAGTTACTTGTAAAGTAGGGTAAACTGTCCAGCCTTTCAAGCCTCACTAAGTAAACGAAGATTATTACTACACAGACAACTAGACAAGGAAGCTTTTAACAGAGCTGACCGAGGGAATGGGTAATTAGCATACTACCACCCTTTTGAGGTTTTAACCACTATTCATTGCTCACATTATTGGAAATTTGCAGGTCATCTAGGCAAAAATGTGTAAATGAAGTACCATGTAATCTACTCATTCATACCTATAACAAGTATGATAGCTAAGAACAAGGACACAGCCCCTCGTTGTCATAATATTGCAGACAACACGAGGAGGAAAAATTCTCATCAACAAGAAGATTGCAAAGAATGAACTTTCTGTAGAAGCCATTATTTCGAGCACAAAGTGATAATTAAGATAATCAGATTGGAAAAACAAAAGATAATAAAACTTCAAAATTTTGAGAATCCATTTGTCAGTTACATTGAATCTAGTGAATTTTTATTCAGTCAAGAAGCACACATCGCGTTATTGGTGGAATACTAGGTAAACCATATTTTTAGGTTGCTTTGGTTCGTAAAATCTGAGGTAATAACTTAAACACTTTGGACACCCATGTAAAGAGAGATAAGACACCTCTTGGTTGGTGTAACATTTTCTCAATAAATAAAATCTTTAGTTATATTTGAAAAAACAAAAACATTCAACCTAGTTCCTTAAACACTTTTATATGTGCTCCACTCACCACACAAAAAATCTACTCTTGAGTTGCCAAGGACAAAGATCGAAGTGCTCAAAAGCGCCCCAGCAGCACTTCTTGAGTTGTGACTCATGGCAAGCCATTTATTAGGAGCCTCAAACCTTGTGCTCTTTGTCAAAGACTTGCTGAGGCACAACCTCAGGGCCTATGAGGCTTGCATTTCCTTAAATCTTTTCTTTTCTTAGTTCTTTTATTGAACTTAGCTTTAGAGCTAGTTTTTGAAACCCAAATGTTTTGTCTCAGGCTACGTGGTCCAACCCTTAAATCTAAACAAAGATGAGAAATTTCTCGTTCCTGGCTTGTTTAAAATTTGACATAATGTTGCATAGGTCTGTGCTTATGTCAGAATGTCAGCTAGTTGTCTCCTCTAGAACATAGACAACCGAAATAGGACCTGCCTCAGCTGCCTGCACCTTAGATCCAAAATACTGTCTTTAATTTGGCACAATTGGTCCAACAACTGGCCAACTGCCCATTCCAAGTGACTTGAAATTTGACTCTTAATTTCAGTTTCATGAGTTAATTTTATAGTAGTGTGTTAATTAACTAATATGAAATGTTCTGAAACAGGTGAAGAAAAAAAAAAAAAGGAAAATGATCAAACAAAAAGGCGAGAAAGAAAAAATCATAAGAGCATGGGGGCAGCCAGCTCAACCAAGGTTCATTGCAGAGTATTATTTTGATTACTTGTACTTTGGTCTTGCCAAGAAAAGGGGAGCTAGCAGCCGTGAGTCTTGCACGGCTTATCCAAGGAAATTGTGTTGGGTTTGAAGAAATAAAACAAGAAAGGAAAAGGAAACAAAGTAATAAAAACAAAAAGGCCGCCACAAGGAAAACTATAAGCAGGCTGGGGATGGTGCACTAACAGTGGAAAAGGAAAGAAATAAAAAACACAAACAGCAGAGAATAAAAGAGAGGGCAGCGGGCAGGTGCAACGAAAGGAAACACAAGAAAGACTAAAAGAAGGTAAAAAGAACCTAGCGCAAGGTCACAATTTGGGGTGACCACTGCAGTATAACAAGGAAGACGAACTAAAAAAATTGTGGGCGGGGACTTGGCAGACGCAACATTGTAGAATGAATCAAAAGTAGCAATCAAGACTTCTATTATCCATGCCGTGTTCTATCTTTCACATGAGTTCGATTATAATTATGTCATTGTATAGTGGTGAGCATTCCTGCTTGTCAAGCCGGCAACCAGGGTTCAATCCGAGCAACGACAACAAAAACTTGTTATGAAAGTTTAATAGTACCAAGAGTACATGATGAGTATGTTTAACTCATCATATTTATGCTACTTAAATTAATAGTTTTGTTAGATCTTAGGAGTTTTTAGAACAATTTGATGTGGGTTTTGATGTTTTATTGGTTGGGTAAAGTGGTGCAAAGGTGCAAAAGTCGAAGAAAAGAGTGATGTTGGAAACCTTGCAAAAGAGGCGGTGAAATAAGCTAAGTTGACGAAGAAAAAAGCGGCAAAAATAAAAGGATGCAACCGGCACTTGGCGCCCTAATGCCGACTCTCAGTGAAGAAAACAAGAGAAGTGGCGCCTTAGCAAATCCAAGTGCAGCTGCGGCACCGCAGCGCCCTATTACGGGAGGAAAAATCAGAACATGGGCGCTCCGCGCCGCAGCGCCCCGGAAGCAGAAGACTCAGATTGCGGCGCTGCCTTGAACGCTACTGGTGGTGAGAAGGAATTGCGTTTCTCTTGGATTCTTTTAAGGCCCAATCCGACTCCAATTCTTCCAAAGACTTCATGATGATATAAATACAACCCTAAAGACCAATTTTCAACTACAATTCAACAGGAAAGAAACAAGAAATCAAGCAAGGAGGCAAGAAAAACATCAAATAGGAGATTGATTAAAACTTCAAAAGAGTTTTTATTCCTTTTTCTCTTTATGTTATTAATTATGATGTTTAGATTTCTTTCTTCCCTCATGAACAAAACTTCTAATCTAGGGTTTGATGTAACCAAACTTAAGACTGTGGTTTGATTTTATTATGGTTATATCTTATGTTTATTTGTATTGTTTATTCTTAATGTTTTCAATTACTTGATTACTAATTGAAAGATCTTAATGTCTAAGTTTCAGCACTCGAGAGAGAAACTTAGGCATAATCTTAGAATAACATAAGAGGGAGCATAATTAAATTAGAGTTTTTGCTTATAAACTTGGGAAAATTGATTAGAAACCCCACACTTATTGTCATAAGTGTGGGGTAGATGAGCCTTCAACTAATCGAAAATATGTAGCAAATTTGAATTCTAAGGAATTACCATCGATAAGGGCCCAAACTACAGATAAGCAGGTGGTGGATAAGCCTAGAGGCGAATTTTCGGTGATGGAAATAAGGTCGAGACGGAGGAAACAGATAGGGATGAAATGGATTCAATGATCGAGGCGTATCGAGAGACGGAACCTTGGGTTGAGGTAGGGGAGTCGGGTACTACGAATCTGATTACGGAGTTATTGGAAGTGATCAATCGTCCTACAAATGAGGGTGTGTTGGACGCGATTCCATGTGTAAAGGGATCATTGTTGGATAGTGAGCCAGAAAATGGAACTGTAGTGGGTGATAGATCAGCTTTGGCAATTGCGAAACAGCAAGGGCCGATAGGCTCAACAACTAGGGTGGTGAACACCTACTGTAGGAGATATTCTAAGTTTCCGAAGGAAAGGGATCCAGGAAATGATAATGCTTTCGTAGTGTGGGTTGGAGGAGCTGAGAATGGGGATACAGACAGTGATGTACCGGTGGAGGAAGAGGAGGGACGCTATTATGATCCCATTTATACTAAGGAAATGGTGAAAGAGTGCACCTGACGATAGACCTCAACCGTCAAGTTGGGTCCTTCAAAAAAATTTGAATTTCAGCAAGATGGTGGTGTCTCATGTGATGGGTACGAAAATAGACTCTTACAATTATTCGAGGAACTGGAAGCTAATAGGGGACATGGGTTGGGTACATCAGGGGGCAAGATAAGAAGAAAAGGTGATTGTGAGCTTAAGCGTCTCGAATGCTCGGTTAAATATGATCTCAAAGGTGGAGAGTCAAGGAGAGGTCACGTGGGGAAGGGTGACGAAATGTTAAGATGACTCCGAAAATAATTAGTTGGAATGTGAGGGGGCTTCATGAAGCTTGGAAAAGATTAGGTGTTCGGAATCTATTAAGTGGATGGAGGGCTGACCTTGTATGTCTACAAGAAACAAAGTTGGAGGTCGTTTCGAGGGCTGTTGTGTGCAGCCTATGGGGGGGACAGCATGTGGGGTATCAGTTTGCAGGATCATCGGGGGCTTTAAGAGGAATGTTAGTAATGTGGGATACTAGAGTTTTTGATATGGAGGATGTTAGTGAAGGGCTATGTTCTCTATCGCTTTCGTTTAGAAATATTGGAGATAGCTTCCTTTAGATGTTTATAGAGTTTATGTGCCTAATGTAGATGACAGTAGAGGTGGATTGTGGGATGAATTGGCTGGGATGATGAATTGGTGGAACCTCCCAACGTGTATTGGAAGAGATTTTAATGTTGTTCGATTTCCCAATGAGAGGTCCAGTAGGGGGAGATTAACAAGGGCTATGGAGGACTTTTCAAATTTTATCAGGGAGAACATATTGGTGGACTTGCCTTTGACTGGGGGAGAATTTACTTGGTCATCTAACCGAGACCAACCTGTCCTATCCTGAATAGATCGATTTTTGGTATGTGCGGAGTGGGAGGCTAGGTATCCAGAGGTCACGCAGAGGAGACTTGAGAGGTTGTATTCAGATCATTTCCCCATTTCGTTATCGAGAATGTCAGGCGCAGTTGAAGAATGCCTTTTAAGTTTGAGAGGATAGGGCTAAAAGTAGAATGCTCTGGGGAACGAGTACAGAATTGGTAGGCATCCTAAAACCTCAGGGGGTCTCCTAGTTATGTGTTGATCGGAAATTGAAGACCTTCAAAAAGGATCTTAAGGGGTGGAGTGAGGAGGTGGTGGGAGATGTTACCTCTCGCAAAAATTAATGCTCATCAGACATAGAAGAGTTGGATAGGTTGGAAGAAAATCAAGGACTGGTAGGAGATGATAGAGCGAGGCGTGGAGAATTAAGGGAAGAGTTGGAGAGGTTGATGGAGATGGAGGAGATTGCTTGTTGTTAGAAATCTAAAGTCAAGTGATTGAAAGAGGAAAACAGATGCACCTAATTTTTCCATATGGTAGCTAATTCTAATAGGCGCAACAATTTAATCACTATGTTGGAGGTAGATGAGGTCACTAATGAGGACGCACATGATATCGAGCCCCATATGGTAAGCTTTTATCAGATTCTTTATCGTGAGCAGTTGGGTTGGAGGTCAGAATTGGAGGGGCTAGATTTTTCTACTATTAATGAGGATGCTAATTGGTTAGAGAGACCATTTAGGGAGGATGAAATTAGAAAGGTGGTGTTCTGCATGAATGACGATAAGGTCCCAGGACCCGATGGATTCTCTTTCTCATTCTATAAGGGTTGTTGGAAGTGGTGCGATCAAACATTGCAGATGTCCTTACCTATTTCTTTCAGTGTGGAAGATTCTTAAGAAGCACCAATACTACATTTATTGTGCTAATTTCTAAAAAATCGGGAGTGACGGATATTAAGGACTTTTGTCCTATTAGCTTAGTGAGTGGGGTATACAAGATTATTGCGAAAATTTTGGCGAATAGATTAAAGGAGGTGCTGGGAAATGTAGTGTCTAAATTTCAGAATGTCTTCGTCAAAGGGCGCTAGATTTTGGATTCCGTACTTATAACAAATGAATGCATTAACTCAAGACTGCAACTAGGGGTTCCAGGAATGTTATGTAAGTTCGACATTCAGAAGGCTTATGATCATGTTAACTGGGGATTTGTTTTGTATATGCTCAGGCGATGTGGCTTTCGGGAGAACTGGTGTCGTAGCTTCAGTTTTGTATCTCTACGATTTCGTTTTCAGTTATGGTGAATGGCATTCCAGAGGGTTACTTTCGTAGTAGTAGAGGATTGAGACAAGGGGATCCTCTGTCTCCATTGTTGTTTGTCATTGTAATGGAAGCTTTTAGTAGGATGCTTGAGAAGACCGTGGGGCAAAGTTAAGGGGTTTTGTTGTTGAGCAGTTGCAGGTTTCTCATTTGCTATTTGCCGATGATGCGCTGATTTTCTATTATACGGATGTTGAGCAATTCAAGAACTTGCGTCGTTTACTCATGTTCTTTGAAGCCGTCTCTGGATCGAAAATAAATTTGGAAAAATCTGAGGCTATCACAGTGGGAGAGGTAGATAACGTCGAGAAGTTGGCTGTGATATTGGATTTCAGGGTGGCGCAATTGCCTATGACATATCTCAGGCTTCTTCTTGGAGCACGGTTTAAAAGCACATAGAGGAGGTCAGCGGGGTGGAAGCGTGTATACCTTTCAATAAGAGGCCGTCTTATTCTCATAAAGTCCACTATGTCGAATTTCCCTACTCATTTCTTATCATTGTTTCCTATTCTTGTTGCAGTGGCAAAAAAATTAGAGAGGATCCAATGAGAGTTTCTTTGGGGAGGATTAGGAGAGAGGAAATTACATTTGGTTAACTGGCGTGCAGTTTGTTCTCCTATTAGATTCGGTGGCCTCGGAATGAGAAGTCTTGTACTGTTTAACAAGGCATTGTTGGGTTAGTGGTTGTGGCGATTTGGAGTGGGAAGAGAGTTTTTGGAGAAATATTATAGGGGTAAAATATGGTTTTAGGGAGGGGGATGGTGCTCAGGTGAGAGACATGATTCTTATGGGGTGAGTTTACGATGGTATATTCGGCAAGGGTGGAATGACTTTCGGGATAGGTTGACGTTTGTTGTCGGAAATGGTAATACCATCAGCTTTTGAGATGATTGTTGGTGTGGAGATCAACCGCTTAAGGTGAGAATTCCTTCTTTGTATCGTATTGTGTTGGAGCCGTCTGCCATGGTGAATGATGTCCCAGCTACATTATTTTTGGTCGGGATTTGCAGGACTGGAAATTGGATGATAATGCACAGTTTTTTACATCTTTATACGAGGTACATATCAAGGCATGAGAGGGTTGGTTTTTTTTTATTGGTAATCAAATAATTTTATTAATCAAAAAAGAATATACAGGATGTGTATTACCAACTTAAACAAGAAAGAAAAGACATGAAGTTAGACAGCCCATCTATAGGATTACTAGTTGCGGCATTAAACCTACTATACAAAGTCAGATAAAAAAATTCTATAAATTGCTCTATGGTCCGTATTTGGTCTTCAAACCATCGATTGTTCATTTCCCTCCACACACACCAAACAATATAAAAAAATTCTCTAAATTGCTCTGTAGTCCGTGTTTGGTCTTCAAAACAACGATTGTTCATTTCTCTCCACAAGCACCATATAAAGCATCCTGGAATAAGATTCCATACAAGCTTGCATTCTTATCATGAAACTTTCTCCTCCGTGCCCTCAACACGTCCTCAATACATCTAGGTAACACCTAATCTATATGTTGAGAAGTCAGAATATTATTCCACAGCCAATGAACACCGTCGCAGTGAATGAACAAGTGGTCATGCGTCTCCCCATCACTCCTACACATATAGCACCACTCGGTTACATAAAAGCCTTTTCTTCGGAGGTTATCCATCGTTAATGTCATTCTAAAACAACCGTCCACAGTAAAAATGCCACCCGTGGAGGCAATTTACATTGCAACACTATCTTCCAGGGGAATGAACTCTCCACAGGTCCCAAAAGGGATTGAAAATAAGAGTGAACTTAAAAAACACAATTCCTTGCCAACTGCCATCGGCTACGATCTTCTTCTCCAACCCGATTTTTCACATCATACAAATGGTTTAAAAACAGTGCATAATCATCAAATTCTCAATCTTGCAAACCCCTCTGAAAGGTAATATTCCAGCTGTAACTCCCATTGCGGTTGACTAAAACGTCCTTCACCATAGCAAATGACACCATAGTTATGCGATATAAGAAAGGAAACCTCACCTTTAACGGTATATCTTCACACCAACAATCCTCCCAAAAACTGATATTATTACCATTCCCAACCACAAGTCAATTTGTCCCGAAGGTCGCTCNTTCTGAAACTCGCTCCATCCTTTCCTGATAAACTTCCACAAGCTCATCCCATAAGAACCACGACCCTCACCTGAACGCCACCCTCCCTCCAAAATACCATACTTCACCCCAATAATTTCTCTCCAGAAGCTCTCCCTCTCCACTCCAATCCAAATTGCCATAGCCATTTACCCAGTAATGCCTTGTTAAACAAAATGAGCATCCTCAATCCGAGGCCCCCCATCCTTAAAGGAGAGCAAACAGCATCCCAATTGACCAATTAGAGTTTCCTCTCCTATCATCTCCTCTCCCAACCCTGCCCACAGAAATTCCTTTTGAATCCTCTCTAATCTATTTGTCACTGCAAGAGGAATCGGAAATAGGGACAAAAAATAAGTAGAGATATTTGAAAGAGTAAACTTAATGAGCGTAAGACGGCCTCCCTTCGAATGATACATACGCTTTCATCCCACTAACCTCATTTCCACATTTTCCACGATAGTGTTCCAAATATTAATACTTTTAAACCGTGCCCCCTAAAGGGAGTCCTAGATATGATATAGGTAATTGCGCCACCCTACAACCTAAAATAACAGCTAGTTCATCCACGTTAGTGACCTCTCTCACTGGAATAACTTCGGATTTCCCCATATTTATCTTCAATCCAGAACCGCTTCGAAGCAAAGGAGTAACAGGCGTAAGTTCTGAATTGCTCTACATCTGCGTCACATAAAATTAGTGTCATCTGCAAATAACAAGTGGGATACGTGCAGTTGACCAACCGTAAAGCCCTTTATCAAATTCGTATTATGCACTGATTAATAAAATATTTGATTACCTTTCAAAAAAAAAAAAATAGTTAGGTGAAAAAATAACCCTAAGCTTTCTTATATTGATTTAAAAGTTGCATTCATTCGCTGAATTCGTCACAACATTTACATTTAATTAGTTCAAGGCCATTGATTTTATAAAATAGAGGCTATTCATTATAGTACTTAAGAGTGTGTTTGATAGGAATTTTTGGGGGAAGAATTGATTTTTGAATAGTGATATGATGGGAAATGTGTGATTGAAAAAGAAGAAAAAAATATTGATGTGATTAAAAATTTTATTTTATTGAAGAATGTGTGGTTGAAAATGAGAATTGATTTATTGTAGAAAATGAAAATCTTTACCAAACAGGCCCTTAGTAAGAAATTGAATTTCAATTCTTGTGGGTTCGATATCCGTACTTGATCTTTATATTACAAAACTTGACACCTTACATTTGCGGTATTAGTTATAGAAAATGTGTAGCAGTACACCAGTAGACTTCCTAACCAAGGAAGATAACCACCAACATAGAAGGCCGAAAGAGTGGACCACAACAAGCTGTCTGAACCTCGTGAATAACCCAACCAAATGAACTGAAGGATGATAAGAGAGACTCATCCACTGGTTTGACAAACATCACTAAATCTTCAGGGACACATCTCACTAACATAATCAACAAGGTCAAAACCCGATTTTTTAATTCATGCATGCATAATAAAAAAAGACTGAAATCTAGAAATATTTAACTTCAACATTGTGTTACCTGATTAGCATTAACATAAAGCTTCGGACCCATTAAACTGAACTGCAAAGTTTCACCAATTTCCAGTTTTCTGTCAGGACCAATGGGAATGTCACCATATACCGGTGCCCATGTCCTTGGAAGTTGAAATTCCAGAAATTGACGAAGTTCTTCGATTGGAGGTTGATCTGCACGTAGAAACTTGAGGTTAAGACCTGAAGGTGATGACAGATTGTATTCTGCAAGAGTTCCCACTCTGTGATTTATAATATACCTACAGGTGATGATTATAAGAATGCTACTCACCTTATTAATAATATTACCGCACTGCTTAAGGCTCAAATACTTGAGAAACAAGAATAAATGTCAACTCACTACAACTTTTTGAATACTAAATCTGCTCTTCTGGCTCCATCATTGATAACTTTTACTTATCGAATAAAAATATGTAAACATCAAGAATAGGCTGCACAAGTAAGGTTGCACTGCAAGAGTGGTTCTCTTGAATCAACTCAGGTTTACCGTTCACTCAAGAATCAAGATTGTGGCCATATTATGTGTTACACCAATTTTTCGGGTGTCAATGATGTGAGGTCTCACCAAAGCACTTGACGATAAACAGAACTATCACATGAATAAGACAACCCTTCAAGGTAAGTATAGATTTTTTATGAAGTAAGTTGAAACTTGGTGCTTACAGCGTAGGTACATGTTGATGGCATAGCTCAAGAATCCACTACTCAACAATGATGAAATTGGAATGAAGGACATGGAGATCACTTCAGGCTCAAGCTGAACAGTTTGACACCACTTATTATGACGTATATTACGACTGATGCTTCCACCTAACCTTCTCCAGAAGAATGTGACACCCTGAAATTGTTATTATCAAAGAGCAAAAGTTCCATGTTATTGTGAATCAAGAAAATGAATTCAAGCTAACTAACTACAAAACCATTGATTTAAAGTGCATATTACAGTACTAGCAACATCTTAGTAAAGCTTATATGTCTACATTTTCAATATTGAATTTTGTGCAAATTGAAGGGTCAGTTGGTAGAACGAAGACATTATCATCTATCGATGCCTAGGTACAACTAATTTCCATAACGAGAATCACCTCTTGGTTAGAGTGGAAACTTGGCGTACCGAGATCCAAGAGGGTCAGTCCCCGTTCATTGCTCTCATGCTGGAAAGGAAAAAATCAAGTTAAATCTTGCAAATGTTATATCATGTTTCATATTTTATATCAGATATAAAAACAAATGAACTTGGACCTTCTGAATTATAGGCAGACAAACCAAAATTATCTTGACATATACGCAGATTTTTTTATTTTTATTTTTCCATAATACAGCACAAAGTAAAACAGAAAACAGTAGAACAAGATTCATAAGACTGAAGTATGTCTAGGGCAGGCAAATGAAATATGACTTCTTGAGTTCTTATTGTGTACTCCCCATCTCCAGATGGGGGTAAGCTTTTAATTGAACCTTTAGCTGGATATTAGGCCGAGTCCCCCTTCTAAGTTTGTAATCTCATTTTTTTCGTCATTAATAAAGTTGCTACTTGCAGCATAAAAAAATAAAAAAAAAAATCATAAGACCGATTAACTAAAATAATTGAGGCCAGTTTAATGTTGGATGAGGAACCTAATTATCCTGTTAACTCTTTCCCCTCAACCTCTGATCAACCTAATATTTCCACTTTATGTGTAGAGATAAAATAGAGAGACGTGAGGTCAGAAAATATATTGTAATCCTCTTCTTCGTTACAGTGAACCTATAGCAGCAAGTAGAACGTATGCTCTCACATTCATTGTGTTGTTTACTTGTTTTTTATTTTCATTTTATTCTTGTCGGTAGTACATGATTAGGCGTTTAATCCATACTGAAAAGGCCCAAGCCACACACAATATTAGAACAAAATACAAAGATCCAAGAAAATACTGAAAGTAATAAGTTGCAGAAAATCAAAATGAACACAGGATATGTTTTTGGCCTAAGCCCCGGAGGTTCGGCGACCAGATCTAACGCCTACATCCCCCGTTGAGCATCCAAATAATGGATATTGCTCGGTTGCACTAACAAGCCAAAAATATGGCAACAACAGTTACAAGATTTGTACAAGGCTGAAAGCAAACAGACACTTATCTTTTCAGCCTTCGATCGATCTTCCCTTACAGCACAAAATAAGACCAGATCACACAAGATCCGTCAAAACCACTCATTCACAGCCCGAATCACAGAAGACTCAGCACAACAATCACTCAAAGACTCAAGACTTCCTCCTAAACAGAAGATCTACTTTGAGAGTAAACAGTTTACAAGAATCAGAAGTAAACCCTAAAGAATGAGTTAATTCTCTCTACACAGACGAAGACCTAACCCTAGAAATTGAGAGAGAATGAAAGACCAACTGAATCGATCGAATGAATGAGGCGTCTCTCAGAAGATAAGTAGTAGAAGTCTCTAGAATATCATCCAACGGCCAAGTGTGGTGCCAAGTGTCAACAATCCAGCCAAGGCACCTTAATAATAAAAGTGTCATTCCAAGTAACACGTTTTTAGCCAATTGTTGGAAGCACACTTTCAGCCAGCCTTTGGTCAAGGGTTCGAATCTCAACACATACTAACATGTTGCAGTGAAAAGATTCAATCTCTTCTCAAACGTAATTCGACAAATAATCCGAGCTCAAATAAATTATTTTTTCACTAAATGCAGAACATCTTTTAATCAGCATATACACTCAGGAATGCAGACAGAGGTGGTGCATGGCTGTCGTTGAGGCAGAGGCGGAGGGACGCGGGAGTCCAAAGCTGCTACAAGCCCATTTAATTTTTTATAGGTAAAAGAATTATTTTTTTTACGGAATTTTTTTTCTATGTATCAATCCAGAACCATAAAAAAAAAAAGGTATTGTCCCCCTGGCTCCACCCCTGCGTTAAGGGGAAAGTTTGAAGATGTTGGAATATGAAAGGTGCTAATAGGCATCTCAACTTCTGCTACACCAACGTCAACGTCTATCATTTTCAGTAACTTTTTCCACTGGAAAAGCTCAACCATAAACTCTATGCTTGCTCGACTGATCCTCAAGAAGACAGCAGTTGATATACTTCAGCTTATCTCAAGTATAAAAATTATGCTTGAAATAGATAGAGATCTGACAATGGTTACAAATCCAGCCTTCACTTTTCTGATAAATCTAAAAAGATATTTCAAGGTCTCTCTTTAAAAATTACTGCAGAGACTCTCTGTGATGTACTCTATGTACTGTAGCTGACTCTTATACTAGAGATTTTCACTCAACATCGCATTTTCTATCAGTAACATGACTGTTGAAGATATGAAAAGAATAATCTCTATGATATTTTTCTAATAGCGTAGGATTATTTTTCTTAATAGTTGATTGTATAATTATTATGCAATCTTTCATTTTAAAATTATTTATAGCCCTATAAATAGGGTCTTTTACTTTGTAATAGAAACAAATTTATTATATACAATTTATACTATTTTTCACATGGTATCAGAGCTGTTTCGATCCTAAACAAATTAACCTTTGAATTTCGTTTCCGGCGAGCAGCCTTAAGCCGCTCGTCCGGTTACCAATGTTGTTTTTTTTTTTTTTTAGTCAAGTTCATTTGGAATTTGGTTAAGTATATGTCCAGTCCATTTGGAATTTGGTCCAGTTTATTTGGAATTTGGTTTAGTATATGTCCAATTCATCTGGAATTTGATTTGGTGTTGTTTCGGTGTATCCGAAATTTGAAATTTGCATTCAGTTTATTTGGTATTTGTCGAGCTGGAATTTGAAATTTGCGTCCAGTTCATTTGGTATTTGTCAAGCCGAAATTTGAAATTTGCATCCCTTTGGTTTAGTAGTGGATGCGTATCATGTGTTGATTACTTGCAGATATGTGTGTTCCTTCTTCCTCTCCAACCCGTATTGAAATTGACTATCATCTGATTTCTCCTTTAAGTCTTGGTGATGGTTTGATTAGACTGGTGGATGATGATTTTTCATTATCATTATCATCAACTTTAAGTTATTTGTTCGGTTTGGTTGACATACAAGCAATTTGAAAGATTTGATTGGATCGATTTATCTTTCAAACTCAATTTGATTGCTGCTACCCCATATTGAGTTTGAGGGAGGGTGTTAAAGATATGGAAAGAATAATCTCTATGATATTTTTCCAATAGTGTAGAATTATTTTCCTTAATAGTTAATTGTGTAATTATTATGCAATCTTTCCTTTTAGAGTTATTTATAACCCTATAAATAGGGTCTTTTACTTTGTAATAGAAATAAGTTTATTATATACAATTTATACTATTTTTCACAATCACAAATCTACTTATGCCACACAAAAGCTGATGAAATCCTGGGGGTATAGGTAACACCACAAGTGTAGAAATCCCAAGAATCATGGGATTAATTTGTGGGATAAGGGTGATTGATTGTGTACCTTATTTGATTCTCAAGTTAGGCAAGTTTCTTTTTCTTTTTTAGAAGATTATATTCCTTCTTTATACCACTTTGTTGTATTATAAATAGGATCTCATAGTATTGTACGAGTTATCAATCAATAAACAGAAATTTCCTAACTATTCTGTTTACAAGAAGTTTAAGAAAGCCAAGCATAAGGAGGTCAAATATGAAAAAAGTTTGCTCAACTTATGATTATAAAGGGAAATCTGAGAGTGTGTTTGGTAGGGATTTTTGGTGGAAGAATTGATTTTTGTATAGTGATATGATGGGAAATGTGTGGTTGAAAAAGAAAAANGTGGTTGAAAAATAAAAAAAAAAAAGTATTGATGTGATGGAAAATATTATTTTATTGAAGAATATGTGGTTGAAAATGAGAATTGATTTACTGTAGAAAATGAGAATCTGTACCAAACAGACTCTGAATACGTATTGAACAAATGCATAGGAAGAGTCTGATTAGGTAATTTATTGTTCTGCGCATAAAATTTCACCTCCGCAAACCATATGTCACTAATAACAAGCCAATAAACCTTCATACATTTCTAACCAGCATTCCTTTGTCAGCTGAAAGGCCATAGGGGAATCTTAAATGCCTCAAAATGGTACTTTAGCCTCACTCATATACACAGAAATTGATTCTGATTTCTGGCTGGTAAATCCATTTTCTTTCTTTAAATACTGACGTCCATTGAAACCAATACAAAGTCACCACACGTAAATTGCAATTACCAAACCCAATCTATTATACTCTAGTTTATAATGTGATATTGCAACGATAGAAAAGCATAGAAGAACAAGAACACCCTAACTTAGGATTCAACTCAATGCGGTGCCTATAATTGTAACACATTACAATTATAATTTATTAATGTGTTTCAAATTTCGAATTCTTAAACGCAAGATGATGTAAATAGGGGCATTTAAAAATCTATTTAACAAGTCTTCCTATGAAATTTGGTAATCAATTTCAATTCAAACTTCATCGATAATATTGTTGATGGTTGCCTGATAATTATTTTTATATTTCTGATATATTTTCGCAGTAGTCTGTCTCCTATACAACTCTTGGCCATGGTTGCTTCTCATAGTCACTCTCGAAACCACTTACAACACCTGCAAACATGGTGCTCAATCTCTCTGGAAGGTACAAATTGTAAACCATCTCTAATTTCTCTCTCTCACATGTTACAATTTAGCACTTCTACCTAAACCAGTGCATTACAGTTATCGATTGTAAACACACTTCAATATCTTGACATACTCAACAGGTAGTCTCGGCTTACCATTTCAGTTACTAATTTTCTTTAGAAAGACACGTGATAAATTTTTTCAAACCTGAGCCCCTGTTTGAGCCACATTAAAATTTTCATTCTCATTCTTCTACTCATTTTCAACCACACATTTTTCAATAAAATAATATTTTTCATCACATCAATTAACTTTTTCCTTTTTTTTCAACCACACATTCTCCATCAATCTATTATTTCAAAATACATTCTTCCAAAATAATGTGGGTCAAACATACCCTGAATATTTTGAATTATGGATCTGAAATGCAAAAGGCTATTGACATGGATAATGAAGGCATGGAGTCCAAAGCATGAAAAAATATGGACAAACATTTCATATCACGCACACATACAAACATCACATATGACAGAACCGTAAAGCATTTATCAAACCATTTCCCTCCATACTTTCTCGGGGTGGCTGCCAGAGTCGCCACCTACATCGCTGAATCTCTTATCTGCCACATCCTTTAATATTTTCTGTACATCAGTAGACTTAAGCAGCGATGAATGATGCTGCTTTGCGTATACAACATCCTTTCCTCCTATCTTGATTCCAACAATGACGTGGGTGCCATATTTCTTGATAAACCTGGAAAATATATAAATACAATTCTCAAACAGACCTACCATCTTCTAGGTCAGCGCATATATAAATATAAAGCATTTAAAGAAATAGATCTGCGTAACTTACACCTCATTTTAACAAGTAGATATTACGGCAACAAATTAAAAGAATCCTGAATGCATTCACCAGTTTACATCATCGACTCTAGCATAGCCATGATCTCATTTTTTATTTTTTCAGATCTAGCAAGCTCCCCCCCAAGGAAAAAAAAAATAATAAATCGCGACATCAGGACAGCTACATGAAAAATCACTTAATCAAAGGGATCTTTTCGGGACCCCACTGCTATTTATAAGTGTTGCTAGCCTCTCCAGTCCATTCTTGGATTAGACTTCACCTGGCTTCTCTCTCTAGGTAGGGGTTTACTCGATCTGCCAAACTGTGCTCAAGAACTGACTTACATTGTGAACTGTAAGTCTGTAACTAAACCGTGTGCCGTAATCAGTTCTGATGGCTGCACAACTGCTATATATTGGATCTACTGTTTGTAGATTCTAATTACGTAAGTCACAGTTCTCTAACATTTCAACAGCTACATGAATCCCATCGTTTGTAATATTCACTCTTATCTAGAAGCTATGGGTCCAAAGATATAATCAAATGAAATATCTCAGTTGGATACATCTTCAACTCAAAAATAGATATGCTTCTGGTCTGAGACCTGAGCAAGATTGCTTGCTCAAGTCTACTTATAACTGGTTGAGAATATCTTCTTAATGGGGTCACCAATGAAGGGAATATCTGTGATTTTTAGTTAGTTTATTACACAAGTCCTCACAGTCTCCTGCAGAAAGGGATCTCTCGAGGACCATACAACAAAAACGGTTTGCAAAGTTTATGTTTAAGAATCTATCATGTGAAACTCAATGATTGAAAAGACCAAACAATAGGATCTCAAGTGATTAAAAACAGCAAGAATTAAGAACTGGGCAAAAACAGAAGCTTTACTAGTAAAGAATAACACGTCATCTCCATGTTGATACTTTGACCAGGAAACGCCTGTTGAAAAAATGAGACCACATTTTATACTGACCTTACCAATGCAGCTGGATCCCAATATGATGGAACTGCTTGTTTCACACGATCACACATTTCTACTTGGTACTTATCTAATGCAATGCTGTAGAGAGTCATGAATACCCCCTCAAAAGCAAGAGACTTTGTGAAGGCGGCATCCTTCTGCCAACATCCCGTAAACTCAAAAGCTGTATTAAAATGGCCTGTTGGAATTCTACTTGAAAGTGATAATTCCTGGTTGAACTGTTGCGACATCTATAAGGTGAAAAGGTGAAATTATAATGTAATCCAGAAGCTACACTAGATCCATATTCCAGTTACTTCCAACAATGCCAGCATATTAGATACGTATAACCTGAATTGATCATTTTTCCCGTTATCATGCTCATAATGTCTCTGAAACTACAATAAGACAGCATATCATAAATTGCTCCCCTGTAAGGTATCGCTTCATAAATAATATCATATCTCAAAAGGGGGGAAAAAAGAAAGAAAGGACGGGGTGGGGAGAAAATATAGTAGAAAGCTCACTGCAATTGCACTCCTCTGCCCACTGCAGAGGAATGTTGAGAGGAGAATCCATTTGCTGAGCTGAAATACTTTATTCAGTTTACTTGTTCTACTATAACCATATAGACACGTCTGGCAAAATGGTCACTCATGGTTAGCTGATTAAATAAAATTATAATTAACTGAATTCTTGTTATTAATTACCCATTGGCCGTAAACCGACTGGAGCTTTTTCAGGTCGGCGATTTACTTGTGGCTATGAATGAGATTTTGTTTACATTTATACAAGACACGTCCAACTACCTAAATTGTCATCTCATTAAGTTATTATCAGTATCACCTCCACTTGTTTCTTTTCCGATGGAATTATGGATAGTTGGGTCTATTGATGGCAAAATACTCGTGCCTCATCCATTCCCCCAACCCATTGGGAACCAGAGAGGTGTGGGGGAACTGGTTTCCGCCCCAAACCACTCTAATCTTATTTTGTATTATATTTTATACTTATGTTATAAATTTAAAGTGTATTTAAAAATCAATAGCTGCAATGAACAGACTATTACAGTGCTGGAGGTGGGCAGAGACGGAGAAGGGGGGGGGGGGGTGACCGCCCTCCCCCAACATGGTCCGCTGGTCTATTATTACTAGTTAATTTTTAAAGTATTTTTCATTTTCGTCCTTTCAAAATTTTGAAATTTTTTTTTCCATTAATAAATATTGACCCAATAACTTACACTTTAAATTTCAACCATACAAAAATTTTAGACCTAAACAAAAGATCCAATAGTTACCAAAATAAATAAATAGCCCAAATCCAATATATGTGTGCCAATTGTTGGTATTGACAAGAAAATCACTGAGTTATGATCTTGTTGATAGATTGATTTGTCTTGTCTTGACTCTTCCAATTTCAACAGCAACTAAAGAACGTGCATTTTATCTATAAGTATCATTAAGACAATGTTACATAATAGAATGGAAGATGATTTTTTGTCCAGTACCATGCTTGTGTTTATGAAGAAGGAGATTGTTGATACTTTTCCATTAGATTCTCTTATTGNTAAGGAGAAACCAATTTCAGATGTCCAAGTATGACTCTACCATTTGTTATATAGATAGACAGTTTAATTTTTGTCTTTTTGATGTCCATCTAACGGTCATGTTTTCAATTTGTATAGCGTTAGACACATAGATGGATATATTGTTTTTGTATCGACAAACTCATTGTCTTTTTTGTCACTCAATTTAACTTGCCTATTTTAGTACTCAAAATCGTCATTTTCAATCCTCTTAGTTTAAAAAAAAAAATCGGGGGCGGATCCAACCCTAGTATTTTCGCCCCTAAGAGGCTCGGATTATTGTAATGCAATAGTAGCAATCCAAAACCCAATCCTTCACACCCGGGAGGTTGCCATTCTACGGAGCATTCTGGAGCTCAAGAATTCCTTCTGTGGCATATCATTTTCGCATATAAGCAGGGATGATAGTCAAGCTGCTCATATCCTAGCAAGAAGAGCTCTTTTTGGAGTTCCAATCTACTGTTTGGGTTGATACTTAAGTAAATGGAAATATTCCAATTCCCATCCCGACTCACAAAAATCCCCAGTAGGGCTTATCAATAATATTCTATAGTTGATTATGATAATTATTATACCTGCTCGAAAGACAACACATCTGAGCTGAATCGCAATCGCTCGCCTTTATCACAGTTGATAGAGTGGGGTACGTTCTGGACCAAAATACCCCCAGGAATCGTGATATCCCGGACCTGATTATCGTCAATGTCAATCAGCCTCAAGCCCTCTTTGGTAACTTCCTTCTTACAGTACCTCAACCGAAGGTCCAGCGTCAAATCGTAGCCCAAACCAATACACTGCACCGCCTCCTCCACTGCCGCTCTCAACCGCAACGCCACCTCTTTCTTACTACTACTGTTTTCCATCGTTTACTACACTCCCCCACCCCAAAAAAAGGTACGAGAAATCGATCGATTGATCAATTTTGGGCCTTCGGATTGAATAAATTATGTAAAATGCGAGTGAAAACCGTGGCTAAAGCTAGGAAGAAACGAAAATAGTCAACTGGTTCTTTGATTGTTAAATTTTTTTTTTCATGGATGACTTTGTATAGGAATGTCACGAGGAGTTGCCTTTGAAGTCACCGAATCCATGTGGATGTTTATTTTATGAGTGGATAGCCACCCAAGATAATATTTAATTTCATCATTACCACTTAATTTAATTTTGCTTCATTATGATCATTCAATTCTATATTTAGGCCCTGTGTGAGCCAAATTATTATAGAATGAGGATTAAAAATATAGTCGTTATTGTGGCCCATATAAGAGATAGAAAATTTGAATTTAAATGTTGATATGATAGATAACGATCATATTTTTCATTTTAATGAGATAATAATGTAGATCAAACGGGACTTTAGTGTTATCATGATCATCCAATTTAATTGTATTTTAGCATGTCATTCAATTTCATATAATGTTTCAACATAACCACTTAACTTCTTTTCATCATTTTCACTAATTTTAAAAAAGGTAAAACGGTAACTTTTCATTATATATATAAAATAAATTAAAAAACAAAAAGAAAATAAAATAAAATTTATTTTTAAAATAAAATAAAAATTTATTTTTAAAAAACGTTTTTCTTAAAAAAATATTTTAAAAAAAAGTTACTTAGAAAAATAAAATAAAATAAAAAGTTATTTTCTAAAAATGTTCCTTATAAAATAAAAATTTATTTTAAAAAATGTTTTTAAAATTTTAAAAAACTTTTATTTTAGTTTATTTTATATATAATGCAAAGTTACAATTTAACCCCTTTTAAAATTAGTGAAAATGATGAAAAAAATTGGATGACAATGGTGAAATAAAATTAAATTGAGTGATTAAGGTAACACTAAATATAAAATTGAGTGATCATTGGTTGATTTAAGCCTTTTATGAGTAGACCAGTCTTTCAATCATTCAAAGGGTAAAAAAAATTACGAATTACAAATAAAAATAAAAATTACAGTTAATTTTACCAAGGCACTATTTGGTATCATTTTTTTGGAAAAATATTATTTTAAATAATAATTTTTTGAAGAATGTATAGTTAAAAAGTAGGAAAATATTTTGAATTTACATATAGAATATCTTATTGCGTGAATGTGTGGTTAAAAAAGTATGTAAAAAAAATGTTTTGAAAGAATGATTGTCAAACATAGGCTAACAATCACTGAAGTTTGTAAGAAACTCAGATGGAGTTCTTGTAAAATATCATACTTACCTTGAGACGTTCCCCTACGTTTTACATTTGGATTACTTTGATAAGATCTGGTCATTGTTCATGAAGCAAAACAGATAGAAGAAGATTTCATGGAGAAGTGGGATCGATCAAAAGACGTGAGTTTACGGAATGTCCCTTTTTGGAGCATTTTGTGTTTTTTTGGCCAAATTCATTGCTTAGACTCCAAAAATACGATTTTCATTTTTCTGGATAATTTTATTATTTTTAATTTGATTAGAACTTTAATTTCATTTAGACTAACGAATCAACAAATCCGAATTTTATCGTGAGATTTTGTAATTTCCTATAAACTTTCAATACACCAGTTCCCTACCAAAGTCGAGCATTTTTCCTCGCTATTTACGAACGGCTATGTTACGGTTGAAAAGGAAATAGGCATGAAATTAAGGAGTAAATGTAAGATTTTCAAATTTTATTTGATTCACTTTAATTCGTTTGTTGGCATAAATCATTTTTCGTACAAACGATTTATTTTTAAAGAAGATGCTGCCTTGCATAGCATACAAAATATTGTCTAGTAGTATATGATGACAATTAAAAGCAACGCGTAGGATTAATTTTACATTAAGCCTCTGTTTGATAGAGATTAAAATCAGATTTTTAATAAAATTTGATGGAATATGTAGTCGAAAAGTTGTAGATCCTATAAAATATATAGTTAAAATTAATTATTGAGTCTGATTTAGATTTAGATTTTTATTTTAGCGGTACCAAACACGGTAGTGTTCCTAATCACTATAAATTTTAGTGACTAATAATACAAGAAAATTACTTTGATGCCATTTTGAAATTTCACACAAGTTTCATTGACTATCGGTGAAATTAACTCATTTCTACGGGTGATCAGTTTTTATTAAAACTTGAAGTTTTACCTTAAAAATGTGAACTTTGTTAAGATGAATGATTCAAGTCCTTATAAATTGGTTTATGTATTTCATCTTTATTTGACGTATGATTTCTCTCTTCAAATATGTGTTCATCAGTGCTACGCTATCTAAAGATGAAAGGGAATATATGCACGTCGCGGTTATTCATAATCAATAAACTCCTATGCTAGAAAAAGAAACACAAATAGTTGATGCATAATCAAAGATTTTTGTGAAATGAAATGTGGGATTACAAAAACTAAAACCAAATTCATATTCACACATGAAATAAGTTTCTAAATTCTCCAAGAATCCGTTTCTTTAATTACTGAACATTTCCATTCAGACAACTTGAGTAGCGCCAATAGATGCCTTACCATGTTGTGTCTGATCTTCGGACGAGAAGCCATGCTTTGTCGAATCGTACTTTTCTCCGTCACCCCACAGCGCGTAAGCTTCTTCACCGTGCACTGCATCGTCCCCAATCTCCAATTCTTTTTCCGGCATTCGCAATGGTACTATAAATCTTATCACAACACAGATGATTGAAGTGACAACAATGTTCCATCCTATGACAAATCCTCCACCCACAATCTGTTTGAGGAATTGCACGCCGCCAACGCCACTGTAAACCCCGCCACGCGAGTTGGTGACGGGCAAGAAGAGGGCACAAAGCTGTGGCTCGGCGAAAAGGCCGGTGAGAATGCCTCCAAGGTACCCGGCAACAGCGTGTGTGTGGAAAACGCCGAGGGTGTCGTCGATTTTCTGGAGAAGTGCCAATTTCTTGTGGACAATCATCATTGTGAACCATGGGACGCTTCCTGAGAGAATGCCCATCACTATGGCAGCCCATCCTTGAACAAGACCTATGTAGAAAAACTCAAAATGTATTAAATGATAAAATTGATTTAACTACAAATTTTCGCATATAACATGTTCCTAACTATGGATTTACGTATAAAATTAAAGTGATAGATGAACATCTACGAAAGTTGCAAAATCGACTTGCATAGTATGGATCACACCTTCTCGTAAATTTATGTGTTTTCCGAAACGTTGACACAAACATGTAAACTTGATGTTGGGAAAATGAGAACAATAAATTTCATTTCGATTGTACATAAAGATGATTTTGAGAACAAAAAGTTACATTTCGATTGGACAAGAAGATCATTTTAATTTTCCAATGCCATTCAACGTTATAAAAATAAGACCTGATAAGTCAATTTGACTTGAAAAATTAGGAATTGGACTAGAAATCGATAAAAGTGTAAAATTATAACAAAAATCGATCAATGGACGAGGGTTGATCTTATTTTTATAGTTATTCTATAATGATATGTCAATATGAAAATTAATTTATATTTTTTAAATAATTTTGACTTCCGACTGCACCTCGTCCTCGTTTGAGCCCCATTTTATCAAAAACTCATTTTTTTAAAACTTATTTAATAAAATAATCTCCCACGTAAAAAATGCAATCCCACCCCCCCAAAAAAAATAAATGGAGCTCAAACAATTCAACGTCAGGGCCGATTTTGACAGCATTGATCCAGTGACATAAAAATAGATACCTGCACCAGGAGTGATGCAAACAAGGCCAGTGATCATGCCTTGAACAGCTCCAATAACAGAAGGCTTTCCGAAGAATATCACATCGAGCCATGTCCATACGAGAAGGCTCGTGGCTGCACATATATTAGTATTCAGCACAGCCATGGAGGAGTCTATATTGGCACTATATGGATCACCACCATTGAACCCCGCCCAACCCATCCACAGCAGCCCGGCCCCGGCCAGCATTAGCAGTATATTGTTTGGAGGAAATCTTTCCCTGTCGATTTTCGATCTTGGACCCACCTGAAACAAAATTGGATCATTTTTTATTTTTATTTTAGGTGGAAAAGGACATGTTAACATTTAGGGGTGATTTTAGTGACTCGAATGTTACATAAATTAAAACAACATAGTATCATGTAGTATATGATGTGAAAATTAAAATTTACAAGTATTTAAGTTTATTCGTTTATCACATGTTCGTCAATATAGATAGAACATAAATCAATAAATTTAAAGATATTTATGTCTCGTTCAATAATGTTGATAAATTAAGTGAACGACTTAAGTAATTAAAGCATTAGGCCTAGTTCANTTCAGTGCAAGCACAATTCTTTTCATGTATTCTTATCATTTATATACTTTAACAATTCTTTTTCGATTGTTGTCTTTATGACAAACATAGTTGTGCTCGCTTTAATTCTTCACTTTTTTAGAGCCACAATTTTGTGTGGTGATATCATGCCACTTCCGTCAACTACTTCCCACAAGTTTTTCACTTGTAGATAAAACTCTATGCAAGTTTGTCATTATACAATTTTTTGGTTATTGAGCTTTTTCATTATTTCTAGCACTTACAAGTTGTCTATCGTGATTTAATTTACTTTCTAGTAATCAATCTAACTTTATAGAAGTTTCAGAATCTTCCTTTGTATGCGAACCCCGAAAGCTAAAAAACTTGTCTATGATTGCTACGACCTAACATCAAATTGTTGAATTTAAATATTAAAGAAACAATTTAATTAATTAAAATTTGTGTAATATTTTGTTACAAAAACACACTTTCTCTCACCAAACACCAATACACACCACCTCACTATCTACATCGTTATCATTCTACTTTGCTACAACTTCAATATCTCTCTATCACAGCACTTATCCACTTTCTCTCTATCAATTCTTTGTTTCCCTCTTCTCACACACTACTAATC